GCGAGAGTGCTCTCTCTGACGGCCGGGAGATTTCTCTCGGGAGTTACATGAGGGTATAACCCTCAACGGCCGAGAGAATCTCTCGGCCGTCGAGCTGTACACCCCAACGCCGAGTGAAACCTCTCGGCCATCGAGGGTGTACACCTCAACGACCAAGAGGGTTTCCTCTCGGTCGTTGAGAATGTAAACTCTCGATGGCCGGGAGGAATCCTCTCGGCCGTCGAGAGTGTATACCCTCAACAACCGGGAGGTACACTCTCGGCCGTTGAGGGTTTACATCCTCAACGACCGAGAGGAAACCCTGAGTCAAGTCTCGTTCACGGGCTACATGAACCGCCTGATCCGGGTCGATCCGCCGGTCTGGACATACACCGGTCAGACCCAGAAGAAGAGGCCCGATTACTCGAGTTTGGAGGGCGCGATGGAGGCCATCCTAGCCCATCAAGGAGAGCATGAGTATGAAGAAGTCGGATGGCAGGATGGGGACGAGATCCAGGACGGAGAGGTCCGCTTGGCCGAGCTCGAATGGCTCGATCTCTCCGTCCATCTCCAGAGCTTTACATACACTCCCGCAGACCATCAGCAAGCTTCCTGGAGCACCCCCAGCTCTGAACTCGTCTCCTTCAAATGTCGGCCTGCTAATAAGCCTACTAATACACACACTTCCCAGCTCGATTCAAGGGTCGTGAGGTATGGCTCCACCCTCCCGTTGGTCGGCCAACTCGTCGCCATACAGCTTCTTGATCCTTCTTCTTCTGATTCCGAGCTCTCGTTGGACCAAACTACTTCCTTCTTTATTCAGCTCTGATCTCGTTTTGTTCCTCTTGAATCCTTGCGGCCTTGTCCCTACTAACCCTTTCACCCCCTCCCCCCCAAAAAAAAAAAAAATAAACAAGAAATGGTGGACATTCTTTGTCTACACAGCGAAACGGAAAACACCCTCAACCAACGTTCTGTCAATCTGTACTCTTTAAATCCAAGCCTTATCGAGTATATACCTCAGTTTTTCTTATCGTTCTTTTTGGAGTTTGTCAAACAATTCATGGACTTTATTGTATCATATGTATAACCACAAGAAAAAAGACATGTAACGATTGATGATGATACAATGAAAAAAAAGAGACACACACACCCACACACACAAAAAAAAGAAAGAAAGAAAGAAAGATTGAGGGACTCTTGTTTTTCTTCTGATAAATGGGGAACCAACTGGCAGTGTGAATGGAGTTATTTCGATGTTTGAGGTGCACAAGCAACCGAAGGGAAATGAGAGGGAGAAATGATGCTGAGATGTATGAGGGTGAAAAAGGAAAGTAGATCAGAGGGGCTATATATGATAGCCACATGGGAAGACAGAAAGAAAGGTCATGGGGGCGGGGCAGTTTAGTTGATGTAGAAAACTGGTGATGATGATGAGGATTACGATGATCGGCAATCGGGAAACCCAAGACCCGAGCACATTATCCTTCTCCTCCTACCACATCTATGTACATGCTCTGGCAATCCCAAGCAAGAGAAAACGAAAGAGAAGATACAAAGCTGGGCAAATTCATCGTCTGAGAATCCGACCCCAAACCGATTTCGATGAGGATGTAGCTCATGATGATGATGATCATCATCAAGGACAAGGATTCTTCTTATTGGCGGTGGCGTTGGTTTGTGGAGTCGCCTCCCTCTTCTTCAGGAGGAGGCGGTCCTCCGCCCACCACAAGCATCACCACGACCGGCAAGATGTACATCCAGTATTTAGCTAACCAACCTTTTTCCGGGGCCGGAGCTTTGAGAGAGCCGTCGGCCATTAATTGGGCCGGTTGGACGGTCGGATGTGGGTTCCAAATCGGCCTATCCCATCCATCCATCAAAACAACTCTCCTTTAGTTATATAAGCATTATCTTGGACAGAGAGAGAGAGAGAGAGGAAGAAAGACTGACTCAGACAATCGTTCGGGGACGCGGAGCGAGATCTTGAGAGTGGAGGACTGATTCTGAGGGTGGGAAAGAGAGGCCAAGAAGGGGTCGAGGGAGGCCGATCCGGTGGGGCTCTCAGCATTGATGCTCGACTCTGATGATGATGACGATCGAGCGTGATGGGTATCTTGACACGTTGGCGAGGAGGAGGCGGGGGACAGCTCGTGGGATGAAGTCCATTGGATGCCCAGCAGATCGAGGTGCAGATCACGCTCACCACTTCTTCTCCAGCTCTCTTCTTCTTCTTCTTCTTCTTCTTCTTCTTCTTCTGCTGCTGCTGCTGATGGATTTGGATGATTGTTGGCCAGGCCAATGGGCCGCCGGGGACGCAGCCAGATGGTCATCTGTTCCTCGAGACGTGTGGCAGGCGACGACGGCCCGTTGGACTGGCTTGAACTTGTGGGATCTTGAAGAAATCGACACTAGATGATCAACCAAGCCCAGAAGATGTCAAATACGGACTTCATTGAACGATTATTCGTGTGTGTGTGTGTGTGTGTTTTTTTGTGGGATGGAGGAGGGGGAGGAAGGGGTGAGGGTTAATAAGAACGAGCGCTTACAAGCGGGAACGAGACGAGCGCGAATCCGGTATCAGGACTTGGGTCTTGGCCGGGAAGATTGAAAGCGAGGAGGGGGGCTAAGGCGATCTGATAACTCCAGCCCTTGCCGGAGCTGATGAGAGTTTCCTTAGGAAGCACGAGAGGGTCGACGAGCTGATTGGAGAAGGAAGCGATTTTGAAATGGTCGAGGGAGCCGTCGTCGGGGACGATTTCGAGCAGTCCACGACGTTGCCATTCTCCTCCTCCGAGAGTGGCGGTGGTTGAAGAAGGAGTATGAGCTATCGAGGATTGTACGAGTCGATGGAAGAGCGCATATGAGGAGCCCGACGAGGCTTGATTGGAGACCGGACTGATGATCAGGATGCCCAGGAGTACCTGGTGAAGTCCATCAGTCACAGTTGATCAGTTCCTTCGGCTCTCATCATGACTTCTTCTTTCTTGACAAAATAAAAATAAATAAAGTAACTCACTAAGCATAGCCGCAATCGTTGCCCCTCAGATTTCCGTCGATGGCTGTCGAGGATCGCTGTCATCATCTGATCGTGATGGCTTTCATTCGTGATCCGATCTGATCCGATCGTCGTCGTCCTGCTGTGACTTCATCGAGCAGGCCATCGGGGGGATGACCCGGGTAGCCCCGAGATCACTTCAACATCCCCTCTATGTACATGTCAAGAAGTGTAATACATAACTTGTAAAATACTCCTTCAACAATCCTTTTCAAACAAAACAAACTTCCTTTGCCTTGTTCCATGTTACATATAATCTGGTATATATGAATCCATCCAACATACATAAATACCACCAATCATCCACCTATTTATGTATGGACCCTGAACATCAATCCCGTCTATGTAATCTATGTTTCCATTCACCAGAAAAAAAAAACCATTTGATCAATCAATTACATATTTTTAAAAAAAGACAAGTCTTATACTATAACACAAATAAGTAGATGACAAAATGATAAAGGGATGCAAAGAGAGAAAAAGTCAAGAATAAGAAATACACTCAAGCCAAAAAAAAAAAAGGGAAAGATTACAAGTGATTCAAGTTTTGTATAAGTTCAATGAGGATCCGAAGGCGAGTCACCATGAGGCTTATTAGAGCCGAGGGGAGACGATGGATGTCGATCATCATCAGTACGGAGAACAAGACGAGCTTCAACTTTTTGATTTTCTTCTCCCACTTCTTCTCCAGAAGAAGCGGGAGTCGGATTGAGTTTAGATTTGACAGGAAAGAGGATTTGTTCGGCCTGAGAAGGAGAACGGAAAGCGGGATGATCGACGAAACGATGGTCGATGGGGACGACTCGAGCAAGCTCGTTGATCCACATCAACCGACTGCTCAATAGCCACAATCTCCGGAACCAAGCCAGTTGGGAGACGTGTTGGTTGAACGCCCGTCGGGCTTCCCAATATTGGCCTGGAGTAGAGATCAAGAGTGTGTTGTGTGAAGACAGTCGAGAGTCGCTTGGTCTTCTTTTTCTTATCGGATCCGTTGAAGATGTCTTCTGGGTATCTTGGCTTACTGAGAGAGAGGGGGTCGAGAGAGTATCATTGTCGGAAGTGAAAGAAGAAGAAGAAGAAGAAGAAGAAGAAGAAGAAGAGAGATTATGATAAGCGTCCAGATGGATGAGTGTTTGAAGGACGAGCTCGGCGAGCCGTTTCTTGTCCCGCGAGGGATGCGAGCTAGGGCGGGCAAGTTGAGGGAGAAAAGACTTGCGAGTTCGGTGGTGGCGGTAAAGCGTATATGGCATCCAGAATAGTGAGCTGTATTTCTCGATCAATCCCGGCGAGCGTAGCATCATCGTCGTCGGAAACTTCGGATCTGTGTGCACTAGTCGACTACATATATATATGTTCGCAGGAATTTTCTCAGTGTTTGGTTTGTGTTCATCATGATTAAAAGTTAATTGATGAGCACGGTTTTTTTTTTTTTTTTTTATTTTTTTTTTTTTTTTACCTTAGGGCAGACGCTATGGCTCGATGATTTGTATGGCCTGATACTCCATGATGATCGAAAGTTATGATCTGAATCAACCAAGAAGAATTAAATTGAATCAAAAAAAGGGAAGTCAGAAGAAAAACATTTTTTTTTGGAGGGGAAGCAGGAAAAGACGGACGAGATCGATGTTCCACAAGTCGACATAAAGTTTAACAAATTCGTTGATGGTATCTTCAGGCCACCAAACAGACATACTATCGGGCAGACTCCTATTACAAGGTCTCAGTCTTAAGGATAGACAATAACAAAAATAGTAGATGGAAAGAGAGAGAGAGACTGACGGATGGTCGAGGACGATACAGGACGTGCTCGGGATCCCAAAGGCCCAACAAGAGGCCCGCATTTCGCGCGTCCTTTTGATCCCTAATCCTTCCGCATTACCTGATGAAAAGGAACATACGGTAAGAAGCTCTTAACCCCTGATGATTGTATAAGATTGCATATCTGGGACTGACCCGAGGATAAGGAAAGGATGTGAGCCCGCGGAGAGTCTAGTGTGAGTGGAACGTTTTCGGAGGTGGTGTTCTTTGGGGACTGGGAATGATGAGGGTGTGTAGACGAAGATGCGTTCAAGGTTGCCGTTGTTGGTGTTGTTCGATTGAGATGTCGGGGCGATAAGAGGTTGAGTAAAGTGGGCGAAAAGAAGAGACTTTCGTCATCGGCTACACCATTTTCAAAAAAAAAAAAAAAAAAAAAAAGACAAAAAAAGACAAAAAAAAATGTTAGTCCCCGGCTTCTTTTTGATAATGATGAAGATGTGAAATTTGAAGTTGGGAAGCTTCTTACGATGGGCAATGACCAACAAGATGCGCTCGGCCCGAGTGACGTTAGGACTGGCCCACCATTCGGGATCGAAGGCCGCCGACTCTGTGCCGATCGAGGGGTCATCAAGTGGCCCAGAGGATTCTTGTTTCCAGACCAATACCACGACCACATAGACTGATAAACTGAAGATGATGTATGAGCCGATCAGACATTGGAGTGTGCTCTTGACCGTCCAAGAAGCACTCGTTTTGGGATACGTCCTTGATGATACATTCCGTCGGTCGTCGGTCTTCTTCTCATCGTAGCTGGCTTCGGCCTTCTCTCCTTTCGCTCTTGTCAATGATGAGCCTTCTTGCTCTTGATGTTGGCCTGGTTTGTTGGTCGTTCGATGATACAGTTGTTGTTGTTGATGCATCTTTCTTTTTTTGCTTGCTTGAGGCTGACTTCCGACCGTCCGAGACTGTCCCTCGCGGGCTCCACAGGGGCCGAGCCATCCGGACGCAACCCGGCCCATCGACCACGCCCGGCCCGGTGTCTGGAAACCCGGCCCATCAAGCTCTTTCCATGAAAACCAACACAAAAAATAAGGCAGTCTCAGTCTGCAAGGTTGGAGCACCCGCACACTAGATATTGAAGAGCACATATGAATGATTTCATCACCAGAATTGAAACGGAGAAAAAAATGTACAAAAAGTTGGACAAGGCTATGTTTTGTACCACTCACACAATTATCATTCTATCCTCTCCATTTGATCCACAAAAGAAGGTGGGGTTAAAACTTAACTGAACATGCATTTTGTGATATATTTCATTTGAGTTTGTCCACTGAATTTCACAAAGATCAACAAAAAACAAGGACCTCATCCATATACACCTACAGATATTGAGACCTTGAAGAATTTGATAGAGACCTACCAAAAAAAACATATTTCATGGATAAAAGAGAGAGAAAATTATGTGGTTCAAACATTCCAAGGCAAGGATGAAGGAAATGAGTGACCTGAAAAAGAATCTCAAATCTGGAAGCCACAGAGATATATAGAAAAAAGGTCAAAGAGTCCAAAAAAAGGGAGCTAAAAACTGCTTGCATGTGTGTCAGAAAGTCACACACCCTACAGAAGGCTGTGTTTATTGTACATCCCTGGGGGATCAGGGGCAGGATACCTGGTGCGTTTGATTTCCATCTATTGAGTGTCATCTCAATGGCAATCAAGTTATGGGACAGAAGCAGAAAAAGTAATGCATGGTTGGATAGACTGATTGAAATAAAAGTCACAGATGGACAAGAGAAAGAGAGAGGAACAATGTTAAACTTGATCAATCATTCTCCTTTTCTTACTTTGAAAAACATAAAACAAATCTGCTATATTCTCCCACTTTTTGAGATACTCAATCCAACCTAAAGAAAAAAAAAAAAAAAAACTCATGCTTTTCCATACATGTGAAGTGAGTTTACATTTCCGTACAATAAATGGCTAAAGATTGGATTAGTTTCACACAGTCATTCAATCTTGATTGACAAACAATTTGATTGTGAGATGAGTGAGTGCTTGTGCTTGATTTGAATGACATATATCCCACATATTCATAACTCATCAAACCAAGTGAAAAATCATTTATGATGATCATAATCAGTGGGATTCCTGTTGATTCTGTAGCACCTATCCAACCAGGTTTGGCACCCCGTTGAGTCAGATTCACCCTTCAAGATCTGGTGGGTCTAAATCTAATTCATTGAGGTCTGAATATGCTGCTGGGAAGTCCTCCATTCATGTGCTTAAACATGACCTCTTTTTTGCCTCCAGATTCAGCCTTTAAAATCCACTCAAAATGTTAGATTGATCTTACACAATTCCACAAATCTGATGTTTTGTGAAGAGGGTCCTTGGTGCTTTCACAAAGAAGCAATTTTGCCAAATCATCCAAAACACCTTGTCTTTGGGCTCACAACTTTGCTCACGGCATTTAAGAGTTAATTCATCTCTGAGACAAACAATCAGACATCATCCCATGAAAAGATTCTGGGTTGTTTTTGGTTTTGTTCTTGCAGTAAATGAACATCATAAGTTCTTCACAAAACCAGCTGACTCATTACAACACCTGTCAAGAGGCTGCAGCTTATAGCTTGGTTTTTTTTTTTGTGAATCATTGTTGTTAGACTCTCTTCGTTTATCCCTTTGTGATCTCCTCAATAAACTACATCAGTACAGAGGAATCACCAGAATCCAGTTCACACTCCCCATAGAATTCCAAAGAGCTTTTAGTCAATATCAAAAAGGGTTTGGTGTCAATTATCCAGCAGTTAAGGCTCAGCACTCAATCATTTTGACTTATTATGAAGATACATACAGAAGCTTTGTCATGCTTTTCCAACACACCTTTTCATAGTACTAGAGCCTCCCACATCTGTTACCACAGGAAGCAGTTACATGTGCCGGCATATTGCTCTTTTTGGGTGCCCTAATCAAAGATTACAGCTTTGACCATCCCATCTCAAGATAGAGAACAAGGAGACCATACCCATCTATTATGTTGCATGGAATTGCTCGTGTTTCTGCAGTGCCGAGCAAAGAATTCGACCCCCACAAAACATCAGTTTCTGCAAAAAAATCTTTGGGGATTCGCGCCCAAAACCCATGGGTAGTCATCGTACCAAATGGTCTCTTCGGCCAGTGAAAGGATAGTGCATTTGAATTGCTCAGTTCAGGGAGAGGGAGTAGAAGCCAAAGAATGGGATCAGATGAGCAATGCTTCCCCGCGCTGCAGTCTGGAGTGCCGGGCCGTCCTTTTCCTTGATCTTGAAAGATGGTAGTTGCATCGGAGCGTCTGCTGATCGGCCGAGATATGTCTTGGTTATGCCAAACAGCAAGGCATTCGCTACTGGAGAACCACCTCAACATTGTTCGCGTGGAGAGCGTAAATTGGCTGGGCTTTGCGACTTTGAGGACAAGGAAGCTGGCTCCTCAATGCTTGATTAGAACCGGTTTACTGCTTCATCGTATCCTATAATACATACACCGTTTTCGCATCAAGGTGGATGTTGAAGGGGCCTATACTGAGAGCCGAACTACTAATAACCACCGGCATGAATGGAGATGTATCCCTAAAGTAATTACACACCATTAAAACTTTCGTTGGTACCAAGTAGCTTCATTGCGGCATTACATTGTGGCAAGTAGTCAATACAAAGCTGAAAAAAAAGGCACTAGGCTCAGTAAACAGGTTAAACAAAAGCTAATTAGACTTCAGTAGAATGCACTAAACAACATCGCCTTTGTAGTTGGATTTTCCAAAGTACACGTCGCGTCCGGATTCTTCGCGTCAGGCTTGCGCACGATCGGATTGGTCAGAACCATGGTAGGATCGTTACTTTGGGATTAATCGCCTCAGGCTTGGTCACGTCAGTATTGCCCCAGAGACTTGAGTTTTTTTTTTCCGCCCTCAATTCGACTTATAAATAACCGTCCTCCCAGCCAGAGTTTTCCCCCACCAGCTCCAACATCTTCTCATCCAGACACCTCCCCTTCCAACAGACTTCTACACTCTCCTTCTGATCTCCTCTACCACACTCTGCTTTCCCCCATCCCCCAAATGCCCCTCATCATTCGGATCCTTCCCATTCCATCCATCTTGAACTTTGCGGTGACTCTTGACGCTACATAGTCAACTTGAACTTGATTTATCCATAATCTTTTCGACTCCAGCTTCATGTCTTGGGTGTGCTCCTTGATAACCATAACCGCCCCCGCTCTTTTGAAGAAATGCTTCTGCAACATCGCGATTCCTTCAATCATATACGTTCCCAAGAATTGTCGACTGTTCACTCCGGATTTTCGTTCTTCTCCAAGGCTAGTGTTAAAATATACATGAAGCCCATGCTCCGATCATCATCATCAGCCGATTCAACGAAACACTTCATTCATCTTCATCAGTTACCATCGTCCAGCTCCATCTTGCTTTCTACTCGACCTTTTTAGCGACACTTTCTTCTCGCTTTCGGATTGACCTCAAGTCATGAATCATAAATCATGGGGTAGATATTCCCTCAAACTGATTGATTTTATTTGCTCGCGTCCAACCAAGTGGGCAGCACCTCTCGTCCTTTCCTTCATCCTTACCTTCCTTTGTTGAGGATTCACCCTTGCTCATATGATGACATGTGTGAGCTGAATCTTTCTTTATTTTCATCAAACTGATTGTAGCGCTGAACCAGAACGCGCTGACTTCTTTTTTTCTCAAATCTTCTTAGCACCGGTCTCAAGTTTCACAATTGGTTCAGACTGCAAGAGGTGCGCGATCATATCCGCCGAGTCACCCTGAAGAGCTAGATTCGTCCATTGTGGGCGGCCATATCCGCTAAGCCACTACGAAAAGCACATTAGTCTTTAATAGGTACTTTGAATCATCTGCTGTGTCTCCCTTCAAGAACCAAACACGTCGGCTAGGCCAAGAGGTAAGTATTTGCACATTTATCAGATCAATGATATGGCTCACATACTCACTGACTTCTTCTTTTTTTGTCTATCCTGTTCTCAAATACTCTTAGAATCAGTCTCACAAGTGAACCAGCCCACACCGGGTGCGCGATGATGTCCGCTGATTCACCCCAAAGATCTGAAGTTGTCTTTCATGCGCGGCCATATCCGCTGAGCCACTCCAAAGGGTCTCAATTTTATCAACACTTGGGTCGGCTGAGCTATGAGGTATGTAGTTGCACATCTATCAGACAGGTGATATGGCTGACAGATCCACTGACTTCTTATCTTTTTTTCTATCCTTTTGTCAAATATTAATAGAATCAGTCTCAAGTGTGAACGAGCCTACGCTAGGTGCACGGTCATATCCGCCAAATCACCCCGAACATCTGATGTTGTCTTTCATGGGCGGGCATATCCGCTGAGCCACTTCAAATTATCTCGGGTCAGCTGAGCCATGAGGTACGTCGTCGTACAGTTAGACCATGGGACCTGTGATCGACCGATTTGCTGATTAATTATTCCCTTTCTATCCAGTTTTTTTCAATACTCTATTCTCAGCATCAGCTTTGAGCTTGACGAGTAGGCCAACTCAAGCCCAGTGCGCGGTCATATCTGCTGAGCCACCCCAAATACCAATGTTGGTCTTTGATGCGCGGGCATATCCGCTGAGCCATTCGATCTGTGCACCATCTTTGGTGTCCCGATTTCATCAAACACTCGGGTCAGCTGGGCAAATAGGTACGTAGTCGCCCCGTTATCAAACGGAAGATATGGTCAACAGAATCGCTGACTTGTCATCATTTTTTCTATCCTTTTTTCATACATTCTTAGATTTGGTTTCAAATGTTAACCAGCTCAAGCCAGGTGTGCGGTCATGTCCGCTGAGCCACCCTAAAGATTTTTATTTTTCTTTCATGTGCGGGTATATCCGCTGAGCCACTCCAAGAAGTTGTGCACCATCTTCGGCGTCTTGATTTCATCCAACACACGGGTTAGCTTAGCTATGAGGTACGTAGTCGAACAGTTATCAGATGGACCATAGGATTGACCGACATGCTATTGATTTTTCTGTTTTCTATCCAGACCCTTGTCTTCTGCTCGCTTCATTCTCAAGCTTGGCAAGCAAACCAGCTTAAGGGTGCGCGGTCATATCCGCTGAGTCACCCCGAAGACATTTTTTCGTCTTTCATGCGCGGGCATATCCGCTGAGCCACTCTGAAAACCTGAACACTTCGGTCTCTCCATTAAATACACTTGTCAGCTGAGCTATGTGGTAAGTAGTCGCACAGTTATCAGACCAATCACATGATTAACCGATTTGCTGATTGATTATCCTGTCCTCTATCCAGACCTTTTTCTTTTTCTTAGCATAGTTTCAAGCTTGACCAGTAAAGCAGTTCAAGGCTCAAGCCAGGTGCGCGGTCATATCCGCTGAGTCACCCCGAAGACCTTTATCCATCTTTCATGTGCGGGCATATCCGCTGAACCACTCCGAGAAGCTGTATATCGTCTTGGGTGTCTCAATTCAACACACAGGTCGGCTGAGCTATGAGGTACGTAGTCACACAGTTATCAGACCAATCACATGATCGACACATTTGCTGATTGATTATCCTCTTTTCTATCCAGACTTTTTTTTTCTTTTTCTTCACATAGTTTCAAACTCGACCAGTAAAGCAGTTCAAGGACCTAGCCAGGTGTGCGGTCATATCCGCTGAGTCACCTTGAAGACCGACATTGTTCTTTCATGCGCGGGCATATCCGCTGAGCCGAGTGCCACTCGGGATCAGCTGGGCCCTCAGGTAAGTATTTGCAAGTTTATCATCTTATGGTTGACAGTTCTCTGATCGATTCTTCTGTTTTCTATCGACAATCATTCAGGGCCCACTTGATCTTGAACTGCTTCCTTTTCATTCCAATCGTCATTCTCCAACTTATCACAAGTGATCAATCGTCTAACAATAGGGTGTATCCTATGATGCCTTCGCACAAAGCCACTTGCCACGCCAGGCTCAGCGATGGGTCTATGTAAGCTCAAGTCACAGTGGCTTTTTTGCTTATAGACACTCAAGCTCTCGATCATCAACCGCCTCTTCTTCATAAACATGCAGCCACTCAACAGATGCTAACAGGTTGGACCCGAGGGCATATCCTCTCGTTCGATGCTTGAGATAAGAGCGCTCACATATCAAGCTGAGTGATTGTTTTTGGCATTCAATTTCATGATCTGGACTTGCTTCACCAGAAGCATTCCACCCGGCTTCGGCACTCTAAATCTCATGCGAAGAGGCATTGGCACGGAAAAATCCCGTGCAGCGACCACTTTACAGGTTGCATACATTACGGTCATCTGCAGTGCTGATCATCTTTTTCGGTACCGATATCCGGCTGTAAGAGAGCTTTAAAGCTATCGTCGCGTTGTGACTGATACATGTCAAATATTATACAGAGTCGCTTGGAGTCTGATGTATTCGATTTATGTAATCGTACTGAGGAAACGCGACAGAACGCGACCACTTCGTAGCAAACAAGGAATATCTTGAACTAAGCTATGATTTTGGCAGTTGCACCTCTCGGCGATATCCGGCGTTCATGTCTTGGATATGTACCTGTGGAGTCTTGGCTGATACTTTCATCCACCTCTCGAGAAAGCTTAATGATGAAACTGATTGTTTGGTTGAAGATATCACCTTCCAAGACAATCGGTTGCTTTGGGTTTACTTTTGACGAAGCCCGACCTTCAAGCGACTGCAGATTGCGGCTAGATGTTGCTGCGCAAATCGAGGTGCCTTGAGATGCGGAAGTGCATCGTTCGACGTTCATTCCGGCCTGATGACGTCATCCAGTCATCCCTATCATCTGGATTCTGCTGTGCTCTCATAATCAGATTTGGCTTCTTCCTGCCTTTTCTCCTTTCCCATCTGTTGAGCTGATCTCAAAGCAAGCTCCTCCCTCTTCCTCAGGTCCTCTCAATGCGGGGAGCACAACCGGGGTAGATCGTTGTGACTGTTGAGGCTCTCCCCGGCAAGACTAGGGCGGAGATTCCGTCGAAAACAGATACACAACCTTATCCAGGGTTAAGCTAACAGTAACAGATACTGTCTGATCTGTCGCATGCCCTGACTGGCAAGACGTATTTGCCCTTGTCGATTTTTTGGACTTCGCTAAATGAGTCCCCAGCCACGTGATATGTCCAGGGCCACTCCACACCCACCATCAGGACCATTCTCTCGTGCCCCTTTATGTGATCATGACCCTTACGCGTCTATCTTTGTGCTCTTGTTTATTACAGTCAGCTCGGGACCGCAGAACAGGGACTATCCTGGCATACTTTTTGACAAGTTTTTCAATACATATTCCAGCCATGACATCGTGATGCGTGAACCTGAATCAAAGCAGTGTGCAAACTGCTTGGCCGATGTGGTTTTTGTTTGTCTGTCTAATCAGTCGACTAAACGCCACAGGGGGCAGCCGGGCTAGTATTCTGTCCACTTCATCCTTTCGGCCCTCATTCCAGCGACTGTTTATCATACAGCAAGGGCATTTTTCAGCTAACAGAAAAGCTTCGAATCTCTATTATTTCGATCATTATCATCTATCGCTCTCACACTGACCAAAACCAGCATTGTATTGTATCAACTCTTAGTGCCACTTTTGGTCCGCTGTCACAAGTCTTTATAAGTTTGCACCCATTCACAGCTAGTCAAGACATTTTAAATCATTCCTATTGCTTTCTCCCTTGTTTTTATCACTACAAGTCGGCCAACGATTGCTTTGTTTCCAATGCGTAGATGGGAGGGTCGAGATTGGCCTCCTCACATGGGACTCCCGCCCTCCGGTATGGATCTGTTATACCAACGGGGGGATATCTTGAAGCCAACTCGGAATGCTCATCAGATCTGCCTTTCTCTTTTTCGCATTGGTCTACCGAATAAATAAGATCAAAAGATGGACTTGGACGATGAGCCAGGCCTGATGGCGAGGGGCCTAATACGTTCCAGGTCTACAGTCGGCATGGCTCCAATTGGTGGTGAGTTTATACTTGGTTTCTTACAAGATCAACTTACAAAGGAAGAGAAGATGCAACATAGGGGATAATTGGTCAGCTTCAGATCGGCAAGAGGTTCAACGCAATTACGCAGATAGTCCAATCGCAAGTCCGTCGTCTTCGAACCAAGCTTTACTGTGTGATTTTGCGAGGCTGGCCACGGTTTTTGAAGACGGAGGTGAAAAGCGGCCTTTGGGATCACCCATGAGCCACGAGCATCGTAAGAACATGGTCTTCAACTCCAATATTTTCTTCAATGATGATCAAGACTGCTGAGACTTGTAATGCCCTCACTAGAACGTTTTGCCAATCCTTCAGGAAGGGTCGATCCGAATATGATAGAAAGCTTTACTCAGTCTCGCTGTGATATGGCACAGCGAATCACGGAAACCAGTGGTGTCAAGCGCAAAAACCAAGCAAGCTCTACCCCAGGTGTGTCAACCCGCTTTTGATTTTTTCACTTTACTCTTCAGCAATTTCAATTAAATTTACTAAACATTTTTCATTCCAACGCTTTGATTTTTCTAGTTGAATCCCATACGAAGCATCTACGGCATACCATTCCGGGCGGCTATTATGACCAACCTAGACAGAAGTCCGGCCTACCTCCAAGCGGGAGCCATCTTAATCCAACCAACGGACGTTGAAAGAGTGTGTATCTTTCCAATCACTCGTCAAAATCCCTATTCCTCATGAAATCTAGTTTTGGTTTGACACTGATTCAAGTATTGGCATTCCTACCTAGCTCTGGATTTACTTTCCATAGTTTTCATACAATAATGACTGATAACCCACAAAATTGAAGAAGATATAATGTAAACAAACAGAAATGCTAGTTTTCCTGTAGTCACAGAATCCCATTTGAAGACTCTACTTAATTTAAAAAGTCTTTCTACAAATTCAAAGTATTGCTCTCTTCTGAGTGCCTTGAGCGGTCCCTCTGCTAGATAAAGAAAAAAGGTAGCAACCTGGTCTTAGCTTAGCACAGCTTCGCGAGATACAGGAGAGACTAGCTGGGCAAACAAGCCTCAGAAGCATTTGCCTATCTCGATCAGCAGTCTGACACAGTGTGCCGAGCACGCCTCTTATCGACGATAGCTGGGTGGCCATGAATCGGCAATGTTTCGCCCGGCAATGGCGAGGTGGGGATAACCAGCTCGTCGAATCAGACGGCTACTGGGACTTTCCCGGTCCAGCCGGTACCCATAAGGGCTAGTCCCACTAGGAGGATTCCATATCTTTACCGGTGCCACATCTTCCCCGGTCGCTAGCCACCGGGGAGATCCCTCTGTTCCGTGACAACGAGCCAGCTACAGCATATGTGGCTCTGACCGGTCTCACTCACTGGGCAGAACACCGCAGAGCAAAGTAAGACACATCTTATCGTAATTTTATGTACCTGAATAAATCAAAAGTTTTGTCACACTGTGTATATAAGTACAGACGGTTGGAGCTCCTATTATTAAGCTCTTTGACCAATCTATATCGTATTCAAAAGTGCGCATGTACGTCTCATTTCCCTATGGAAGCTCTCGGCACAAGTGATTGAAGAAAGCCTCATGCTCGTATCGCTTCGCCTCATCACATAAACAGTACATGCTGATTGGCTCAACAAGAGAGACTTCCCCCAAGAACAATGAGCTTACCTTTAACATCGACCTGTTTTCATGCTACGTATGGACTCAAAACCTTCCGGACCATTTCGCTAGAAATGTTTATCTCTTTGTTATGTCTAGTTGAGTTCAAACGACATCCGAAATCATATTATTAAGAAGTCAACAGCTGACTTGAGCCGTTTTCTTTGCATGTTCGGCTTAGTTCTTGGTGAACCGTGTCTTGAGTGCACCAAACCCTCCAACAAGGAACCCATCTCAACCAGCTTTAGACTTTGAGCTATCTCGAGTGGTCATTCCGGAGGTAGCAATAATAGGAATGGGTACCTCGCAGACTGATAAAGACAGACCCATTCCGATTCGTATACCTGCGCGCACCTTATACACTCCTGATTCATTCGGTACTCCTCGGACAATCATGGAACGCACTTCTGAAAAATTTCATCTCTTTGTTCCAAATCTTACCAAAGACCAGCTGCGTCACATAGATGTATCAGTGTCTACTCGTCGCCGTTCAAAGCTTTCTCCGGAGGAACATCAGCTACTGGTTCCGAACCTGACTAGAGAGCAACGGAAATCCATAGCCATACAGGATCACTTTGCAATTTCTGATACAAGCGCAGAGAAATACCTCTTTGTTCCATATCTAAGTGAAGCACAGCTAAGTCACTTGCGGCATTCATTTGGTGCCCGCGACAGGACCATGGAGGGCACTTCGGATGGCCATCACCTCTCTGTTCCACCTCTCAACAGAAAACAGCAAGATTTCATACAAAATTTATTTGGCACTCCCCGCTCAACCATCAGGCGCCCATCATCGCAAGGACAATCAATTGAAAACACTGAAAGCTTGGGATATATTCCCAGGGGATACATACTAGAACTCATAGAAGAGGGAGAGCTTCCAATAAATCAGGCCTTACAACTGCTAGATACCACTTTGGTTGGTCAAGAAAGCAAAGGTGAACTTGGCACTTCAACAGATGGTGTGGAGCTATTCCCAACACATCCAAGCAATATCAGATCAAACTCCAAAATATCACATGTTCTGGTTGGGAGTCCAGGCCATGACTCATGCTCAACATGTCAAGAGATATTCAAGAAACCTGAGAAAGGTACCAATAATCAGTGGGTCATTCAGAAAATTTCTAGGATCAATAACTGCAAACACTACTTCCACTTTGAATGTCTTGTCAATTGGGTGGTGATGGCAAATAAAAACAGCTGTCCAATTTGCAGGTTACCAGTAGACATTGATAAGATTTGAGGATTGATGGAATTCTTACTTGGTCCCATAAATGTTACTAGCTTTGGGAAATCAGGATCAATTATCATTTTCAGTTTACTATGCAATTAAAAGCTACACCCATCATTAGCTTTCTTAACATAAGCTTACAAAAATAAGTAAAAATCATATTTTTCAGCATTCAAAATGCTCAAATAAATCTGTACAGGTGGATCTTTGAATTGAGATATTCAAATATTTGAGCAGAGTGGTGTGATTTTACTTATGAAATGAAAACTTCCAGTAAGTTGTAGCCATGTGAAAGAACAGTGAACAAGATAATAACTTTTGTAAGAGCATCTCCATTGTGGGCCCTATTTGCGAGGCCCTATATGCCTCCAATTGGGACCTGAAAAAATGGATACCGACCGAGACGGGGTTATTTTTTCCACCGCTAGCAGGTGTATCAGCCTTAAAGGTTGGTGAAAGCCAATCAGTCGGATTTGTTGTGTGCTTGAGGATGCGTGAAACCTTCTGATGTTGGAAGGTTCACACGGCATAGGGCCAATCAGCCAGGCCCTATTGAGTCTGTATACATACAGCTCAATAGGGACTTTCAACCACTAGGGCCTGGATGGCCTAGCGGTAACCATCACCCACGGAAGCTTGGTGTCACCCCTGTGCTATCATACTCGCTTCGGGCGACAAGTCCGGTGTTTGAATCCCTGCAGACCCAACCCCTGGCCGCTACCCCTTCCCACTTGGAAAACTACACCACCCCTTTCACTTGCAAACCCTTTATTAGTTGTCTACTTTAACAAATCTGCTCACTTCACTTTTCAATACCCGTTACCCAATTTGATCAGCCAAAAACAAAAATGGTTGAACATCAGCCCCCATTCACATGACCCCCTGCCATCACCAATAAGTAGCTACCCTACAGAGACTTTAATTAGATGTGCGTACTCACAGAACTTACCATCATCATTAAGTACTGAAAACCAAATTATTACAATCTAACAAGTTGTATCTAGATATCATGAAATTCATAGTGTGCAATGCTAATGGCAAAGTAACACTCTAAAAAAACCATTTTCCCTATTATAGGGCCCCAAATAGGGGCTGCAGTGGCTGTGGTGTTGGGCCTTGTGGTCCCTATATGTGGGATAGGGTCCCAATATGGGGCCCGTGGTGGAGATGCTCTAAGTGTACCCACATTATTGCATATTGAAACATTATCTATGGGATTTCTCAGCCTACTGGTAAAATTCATTTGCAAGGGATCAACTCTGAAATATAGTGTTTTCCTCTCATGAATTCATTTTTATTAAATTATATATCCAATCATTTTGCAGAGATGCTTGTTCTGTATCAAGATATTCCTGAATTTATGGTATTTTATAACCTGTTTGATTGGAAAAACTGAATGCTTTACATCAGGATATATTTGCTCCTTTTGTGGGAGAGGGCTGCCCTCTCATTAAAAATGAATACACCAAAGTCTTTCCATCTCCTTGCTGAACCAATTTTAGAACCTATTTGAAATGTTATGGTTATAAATTATAATTAGCAACATAGATGTATGCTTATGTGTTGGAATTCTGTAGCCCCGTGCCATTCTCTCCTCTCCTTCTTCTCTCCCTATCACATTCATGTCACTCCTTTTCCATCTGTCACTCTCCTTCTCCCAGTTGCAGATGAATATCCAGTTTCACCTTCTGTCCCACAACTCAGCCCATATTGTATGTAGATAAAATATTCATGCTCCAGAGTTAAGAAATGAAAGATCATCTGTCTTCTGCACCATTTCCCTGAGGTCAATAATAGATACAACCTCTTGTAGCGTGTACGCTTTTCCGTCACACAAGCTAGCAGACTAGCCCCTTTTTGGGCTCTTAGACCATTGTTTTCCCTTCAGAGCTTTTTTACTCGAGGTTTCTTCATCATCCGGTCTCTTCCCCCTCTCTCATCAAAATCCTCAGTTTCATCATTATGTAATGTGGTGGAACATGTGGGAGGCTTTGAAGTGTTTTTCAACTCTTGTATTTTTTCTCTTGGTCTCAGAATTCTCATTTCATCTCACAAAATCATCAAGACATCAACATTGAAAACTCGAGAACTAAAATTTTGAAGTCAGGAAGTCAAGAAGGTAAACAGCAATCAACATCAAGAAATACTTCAAGTGAAAAATTACAGCTGAAATTGATTCAAAATTACACATTTTCAAGTTCAATCACATCAATTCAGGTTGAGGAAAAACACTCAAAGAGCTTGATTGTTTTTTTTCTTTTTTTTTCTTTTTTGTCTCTTTCACTGATAATGCAATTGTTGCAGAAATTTGTATATGTGATCATATCAGATATCTTCATGTGGTGTTACATCTGTTGAAGTGTCTGATTTGATTCTTGTCCATCACATCAAGCACTTCACCTGATATAAAACCACATGGCTGTATATGATATAATCACAGATACAGCTATCTGACACAATTCCAGTGGAAGTGAAGCAAATCACTTGTTTCAGAAATCTGTGTTTGTGATTACATCAAATACAGCCAAACCGAGAAAGCTTGCGTCTCGGTTGGCGGAAGATTCAAAAAAAAAAAAAAAAAACCGACTGCAGTCGGAATTTTTGGAAGAATACAGCACCCTGTATGCCCATTTGCATACAGGGTTACTTCAGGGTAAAATCCCTATCTTTTTTCTCCCTCAGTTCCAGGTCATGAGAGTAAGACCATTGGGATCCTGAGGGAATGTTTAGTCAAACCGGCCCATTGACATGAAGGCCACCCATGCCCCTGCCCCCCTCGGGCTGGCTGGTTGGGTCCGGTGCGGTCCTGTCGCCGCTACCGGCAGGTATGTTGGAAGCTGTATGATGGCTGTATTCTTCCAAAGATTCCGACTGCAGTCGGGATTTTTTTTTTTTTTTTCTGAATCTTCTGCCAACCGAGACGCAAGCTTTCTCGGTTTGGCTGTATTTCCAGACGATGTTGGTGTTACATCAGTTGGAATGTCTAATTTAATGGTTGGACATCACATGGGAAAATTGAACTGATGTAATATCACATGAAAATATCTTATACAAGCACACATACAGCTATCTGACACAGTTTTTTTGCAGTGCTTTATATTTTGGTTGTTTTTACCAAATGTTCAATGTTTTGATAGTTTTTGTTCACTCTTATTTGTTTTCTTGTCATCAACATTATTTTGCTTGGTCCTGTATAATTTGCCTTAAGAATAATAATGGTATTACTATTTGAATCTCTTTATTCTGTCATCATTTGGTCCTGAATTTTTAAGTAATTCTTCTACTAATACTGGCTATTTGATAATAAAGATAAATTGTTGTAAATTCACACAACAAACTAGGGCTCTGATCCAGACCCTGGTATTGAATATGCAGCACAATATCAAGAAGTTTTGGGATCACTGAACACTGGCAAACCTTCCCCGGGTGTTTCTGGTTGCAAAAACCATCAAGAAGGAGCTGTGTGTGAGTGTATCCTGACCTGAATTTGTCTTCAATTGCTCTGGAAATATGGTTTTCTATCCAATAACAGGGTCTGGATTGGAACCCTACAACAAACACATTCTATTCCTTTGAGAAACAGTTCATTTATCATTTTGGCCAGAAGAAATTTATCTGTTCTAAATAGGTTTGTGTAGGCTGTTTACATGGATTAACTAATCCCAACAAAAATATTTGGATTTCCTTTTTTTGGGGGAGGTATTCCCACAGCATAAAAATCTTGTGCCTTATACAGCATAAAAATATTATATATGCTTCCAATCAGTGTTTATCTTGTTTATGATTTCAGTGAAACCAATAGTTTGATTCTTGGTAAACCAAAATAATATGAAACCCAGACTATTGAATTATAAAAATTCACAGTATGATTTTGCAGAACATCAAACAGGTACACTTTTGAAACAAAGTATTTTCAGTTTGATCCTACTAAATAGTGATCTGTTTTAGGTCTTATTGTGAGATATGAAATGATTTGAAGTTCAGCCAGAGTTTCTGAATCAATTGGATATTCATACTTCATAAGTAAAACATGTACAATTTTATTACACAAAATTCAAGAATGAAATTTGTATAAATGCTGGTAATATCATTATTTTGTTATTATATTCAAATTACTGTGATGTATCTCTGGATTCCAACAGGCAGTTAGGGGTTAAATTTCACTGAAACTTTGATTCAAATTTCTGTTGGGTAATGAGTTTGAAATTCTGAACAAATCCAAAATAAATAAACTGTGTCTTTCTATCCCAATTGGTACTAGCATCCACAGAGAAGAAATTCAACTTACATTTTAAATATCCATCACTCTTTCCAGTATATAAATCAGATATTAAGCTACATATCTAGAAATGAAGTTATTTTCCTTGAATCTAGTTGAGTTCAATTTATTTTCTGAACACTGATAGTAATATACAACACAAAATACTGACTTCAGAAACTTTATCTGAATTAATTACTTAGTTTTTGAGCATGCTTATAGCCAAAGCATCATACATTCCATTGGTTGATCCAGAAAATCATCTAGAAACTGGTGGCCATTTATTGCAGGATACTCAATCCTATTCAGAATTGAAGCCATCACAATCACATATCACCATACCAACCAGACAAGAAGTGAGCAGTTGTGTCCCCTCCTCAAGTTTATGTGATCAAACTATGGCTATCGAAAATTCTCAGTGTGTTTCCCAAAGAGCCAACCAAAAACTAAATTCATGCTTTGCACCACCAAAAATGCCTGTTCCTGATTTTGCAAATAACAAGAATATCATGCAAATAAGAGAAGTGAATTCCCATACAGGCCCCTCCTCTAATATTCATTTTAGTACAAATTCACTTCATAGTGACCCTAGCATGCATATTCAACCAGAGAAAGGTCTTCAAAAACCACAAATGTCTGATTTAACACCATCTACACCTATGAATCATCAACATGAAAGTCTTTCTGAACTACAAGAGATAAAAAAGCATGATCACCAATGCTCTCCAGATGACTTGTTTTTTACCAGAGACCAACATAATAGATCTGGTTGTTTACAAAACTCTGCAATTCATACCCACAACAATTTGGAACAGATGTCTAGTCACAATTCTCAGCAGTCAAGCCAAATTGAATATCTACAAAATTCCCTTCAAAATATTAAAGAAGGAATAAATTCACTTCAAGGATCACTCCTAGAAGAATTGGCAAGTTCAAATGGTTCACCCCAGCAAAGGTTTGAAGGAGAGGAAAATTCAGTGGGTGAATTCTATGAAAGTTATGATGAACAATTCCCAGTGTTTGAAGAGGAGGACAATTCTATTGAGGAGTTTATCAAATCTTTTGGACTGAGAGAAGGTGGATATTCAACTGATAATGGGACACACTCATTTTATGGAGAAAATCAATCTTTTGATGAAGCAGAAGATTTCATGGATGAAGAAACTCAATCTTTGAATTATTCAGAATACTCAATTGATGATAGTTTGGAGGAAGCAGATGATTCACCAAATTCCAGTTCTTTTGAACAAACAGATAAGATACTAAATACTGTTATGTTGGGATATATGCCCAAGGAGGAATATCCAATTCCACATGAGGGCATGGATACAGTCCCAGTTCATGAAGTTTTGAAATATTTAGGTGCAACCATAGCTGAATTTCCTGTTCAAAGTGGAATTATCACTTATCCCAATGGTATGAAGGATTTTTTATCAGCTGATATGGAAACTACTGGAAGGAATTTAGATTTTGAGGGAAAGAAAACTGTAAATTTCAGTCAAAATGATCAAATTTTCAATCAGAAAACCATTGAGAATTGTGATGAAATCTCCAATTTCAATCCATCACTGGAAGGGATATCAGATTTCATATTAGGAGAACCACACCACCGGAAGTGTGCATTTTGCCAAGATGAATTCAAGTCACCCAAAAAAGATTCCAAAAATGTTTTGTCTTCAATGGATATAGTTCTGAGGATTGAAAATTGTGGCCACTACTACCACCCCTTCTGTCTTAAAAAATGGGTGCTAGGACATGGTAAACATAGGTGCATACTTTGTTGGCAGGAATTTCCAATTTCCAATTGATTTTTTACACTCAAGATATAAACAGATCCTGTGACAGGGCTTACATAAAAAATTACAATCAATATGACATACCCTTTTCCATTGAGTAAATATCAATAGCAATACTTGTGATTCTTTGAATCTCAATCACCTCTTTAGCCTTATTTTCTCTATATTGATGGCTCTCCATCCTGTATTCTATATTATACTAGAAACCAAGGCAGCTGCACCACTGCACTTCACAATCCAGACTCCCAAAATTAAATTTGTGTAAGAGTTCCTTTTTTCAGCCTGAATCTTGTTAACTTGCAAAGGAAAGTCAAACCCAGTCACACTCAAACTAAATATTACCAATAATATATACTTGCTGGGTATTAGGGATAACTCCAGCTTACCATAAATTGAGATAAGCAACAGGAAAAAGTGATGGTGATGGGAGAATTAAAATGAACAAAACTAATTGCTGTGTATAAGTCTGGGTCAATTTATTTGATAAAAGATAATTTTTTTTGGTTATGGCAAGATTGATAAATTCAAACCTATTGAAATGACAGAAGAAGAAATAAATTACAAAAAAAGAGGTGAAGAATTATTAAGAAATATCATTCAGGGAATTAACAGACTGATTAAAGCCAACAAGATGAGAATGATTTATATTAGAAAGAAAGTTTTACATAACATGAGGGTATTGAATAAAGCAATTGTTGATCTTATAGGGACAATTTGGGACAATGTTGATGATTACTACAACATTGATTAGTTGCGGATCTAATTATTAGAATTTTTATTGATGGTCAATGGATCTGACAGTTTTCTTTTCATTGGGTCTGTGATTGAGAGACAAACATACTATTTGGCTAGTTTGAGACATCAATCCTTCAAAGAAGCAATGCAGATTGTTTATGTTCTCTATTATTCCTCATTTGTTTCCCCATATGTTCCATAAAATCACCATAATCTTTGATGAACTGATGATTCTTGGGATTAGAAGAATGAGGAAAATGATGATTGAATGAGACGATGTTTTCACAAGGTTTTGGGCCTGATTTAGATCAGTTGGTGATATTCCTTGTGACAACCTCCGTGTGTTCGATGACGATGGGTTTGTGAGGAATGATCAGAGTTGTCATTATTATCATCATCACTACATTTGATGATTGCCTAATTTCAATTTGCCTTATTTTTGTAAATGCATCCTGATAGGTTGTCAATTCTGTAATGCCAAGTGGGAGCACTGGTGATATATCGATGACCAGCTTGCGGCAACTACTGGAGGCTTGTACAACACCAGCTCGCTAAGAAGGCCTCAGTGAGCTGATGCTATAACCTGCGAGCATGTCAGAGGGGCAGGCGAGCTTGAGTTATCCATGCACTGGCCGAGCATCCTCGGCAAACTGGTGGAATACATTTACTTGACCCCCGTCGAGCTCTTTCCCATACACCAATTTGTCACTGCACACCCATTTTGGTTCAGCTCAGCCACATTGGTATTAGATCCAATAGCTCATTTCTGTCAAGTAATTCCCATTGCTGATGTTCAACAGGTCCCAGGGTCTTGTGCACATATGTAACTTCAATCTCTTGACTGTCAATTCCTTTGACCACATTTGGGTATTGGGAGAGGGAGAGTGTTCTTGGCCTCACGGAGCAATCTCATTCAAACTGCTTGATTGCGTTTCTCAACCCATTTGACTGTGGTGCTCATGATGTTCCTTTTTTGGAGCTGGGACATGTCGCAAAACATCGGGAGCCGATATGCTGATTTTTGCCCTGCCTTTCTATCCAAAATGTGTTTCAAGTCTTGAACTGCTTCGGCAATATGTATGTACACTTAATCTGAACTTGCAGTAAGTTGTTGAGATGATGGCCGAGGAGAGAAATCAAGACCTGCACCACGCTTCTTCCACTCACCAACGTTAGTAGCACAACTTTGTCAAGCGAAAAGTAAGACCTCACGAGCAACCGACTTGACTGGTCTTTTGAAATCAATTAGAATTCTGCATAATCACCAGGTTGAGCATTTCCAAACAAGTGGGGAAACCATGTGGAAGCTTCTTTTCTTGTCGAGTCTAGTTGAGTTCAAGCGATTTGTGGAGCCATGTTAACGTGCGGTAATGAAGACCAACAAACTGACCCAAGACCCAATATGGACCAAATATGACTCGTTTGCTCAGGTTTTTTATGCTCTGATACCGATGGCGCTACTAATTCCATTTCATGGGCCAAGCCGTTATGGACAAGGTCGTCTTTCCTTATATCACGATCGTCAGTCCTCACGTCGCAGTTATTTTCATTCGATCAGTCCTCACATAGCGGTTATGTACCAGTTGATCCACAGGCCTTTCATAATGGCATACCGAACAACCCGAACAGAAATAGAATCAACAATTCTGCTCACTTAGGTACAAGGTTACTGGAACGAATACGTCGTCGATTTTCCAACTGTATTCCTGGTAGCCGACGAATTTCTGGAAGAGGCCAACAGCAAGGTGCCCCATCAACACCGACACGGGTCGATAACTGGCTTGATAGATATAGCCGGAGACCAATTGTAGAAACAAGAACCCATTATTTTCCACGCCTCCGTCTCTTCAAGGACACGGATCGAATTACCAATACCATGCTATTAGGTTATATGCCCAGACATGAGTATCTGTCTCCCCCGAAAGAACGACATACAACCCCACTAAGCCAAATCTCCAATGCGCTAGGTGCCGCCACAGTTGATCAGCCTGGAGGAAGTGGAATCGATACTTCTCAGAGTCGACTCGAAGGTATTCCAGCTGAGCTTAGAGGAACGAGCAACACTCTAAATCTTCAGGCGCAGCAAACTAATGGATGCAGCCCCAAGGATCAGGACAGTCTATTTCGGCCCAAAAGACACCACATAGTTCCACTGAATCAAGTCATCAAAATTCTAGGCGTCTCTGAAACTGACCAGCAAGGTGTAAGTTCACTTGGCACGGTTTCGAATTGGAGCCAGGGTTCTCTTTCTGGGGTTGGGAGAATAAGCGACAGTTTGAATGTTAACGACAAACGAATTGGAGATGCCGGTCACGACACCGATCGCATTTTGGATATCCTATTAGGGGAACCAGAAGACTGTACTTGCATGGCCTGTCTAGAAGAACTTCAGGGTCCTCGACGAGACGCCAACAATCAGTTGATCATCGATTCCTTTGATCAGGTTCTTCTGATCGAGGGATGCGGGCATTACTTCCATCGTCAGTGTCTTCAGAAGTGGATACTTGGGAATTACAAAAAAACCTGCCCATTGTGCCGGAAAAAATTCTTTCAGTAGAAAAATGTCTTGAAGGCTCATAGAGCTCTAAAAATACAAAATCATCTCTTCCAACATAGCGTCTTTCCTAAGCTTTCATTTTTGAAGTATTTGCATTCTTGTTCTAGTTTTGTTTTTGTTCACCTTCGAGTGAATTTTATTTTTTCCCTTTTATTTCTTTAGATCTTGAAGAATTTTCATCTTTTCTCATTCTTATTAATTTCATTCATCTTATAATAATATTGCAAGAATTTTTATTGAAGCTAAGGATTCCTATGACAGGTTACTCAACCTCCTCAAAGTTAACCTCCCCTCATCATTTTCAACAACACATTTTTTTGTTTACAGTTTACTCTTGGCTATTGTAAATCTTTTCGAAATAAATCTCAAGCTCAAGATTGATGAATGAATAAAGATTGACTCTCAGCTCATTTTGTAGCAAATGTTGGGAATCTTTAATTTTTGCTTCAAAGATCCCCAATGAAATTTCTGATAGCCTAGTGTGCAAACAACTAAATGGATTGAAGTTTGGATATTTAAAATTTTGGATCAGGGCTCAATCACTATTTTGAATCAACTCATTTTCATTGGTATTATGCACAAATCACTTCAACTCAACATGGTCCGTAACAACGATGTAACCGATCCGATCCCCGGATCGGTATTTATCGGGGATCGGATCGAAATGTACCCCAATACCGTGTATCGGGATCGGATCGTTTTTCCGATCCAATCCCGATTTATCAGATGATTGGGATCAGCTGGGGCGATCCGATACGAGCCGCGTGGGAACTTGGTATCGGTATCGCCCAAGCCGATCCAAGGATTCCCCGATCCTGTATTGTGGCCCGCCCACATTATTTGGGACCGGGTCGGTCTTCATTTCCGACGGTATACATACAGATACTGCTATTCTAATACCCCACCCCACCACCCCTCCAGTCCTACATATTCCCACCACCCCCATCACTACCCCCCCCCG